TGCCATGGCATCACAGCTCACAGCAACCTCCAACTCCTGGGCTCAAGCGAGTCTCCTGCCTCAGCCTCCCAAGTAGCTGGGACAATAGGCGCCTACCACAAAGCCCGGCTATTTTTTGTTGTTTGGTGGGCCCAGGCTGGATTCGAACCCACCACCTTAGGTATATGTGGCTGGTGCCTTAGCCACTTGAGCCACAGGTGCCGAGCCTCAAGCAATTCTCTTGCCTCAGCTTCCCAAGTATCTGGGACTACAGATACCTGCCGAGCTATTTTTAGAGACAGGGTCTTACTCTAGCTCAGGTGTGTCTTGAACTCTTGAGCTCAGGGGATCCACCCACCTCGACGTCCCAGAGTGCTAGGATTATAGACATGAGCCACCAAGCCCAGCCTGGCTAGTAAATTTCTTCAAAAATACATTGTAAGTTTGGTGCGGTGGCACTCTAGGAGGCCAAGGCGGGTAGATTGCCTTAAGACCAGCCTAAGCAAGAGTGAGACCCTGTCTCTACTAAAAATAGAAAAAAATAGCTGAGCCTTGTGGCGGGCAGCTGGAGTCCCAGCTACATGGGAGACTGAGGCAGGAGGATTGCTTAAGCCCAAGAGTTTAAGGTTGCTGTGAGCTATGACACCATGGCATTCTACCAAGGGTGACAAAGTCAGACTCTGTCTCAAAAAAAAAATATATATATATATATATGTGTGTGTGTGTGTGTTTGTAATAAACAGTGAGCACTTTAGAATGTCTAATCACGGTCACCAGTTGTTTAGTTGGTGGATATTTACAATCTGATTTTGTTTATTTTCTTTTCCTCACAGGTATGTGAGGAAGCCCGATGTCCCAATATTGGGGAGTGTTGGGGAGGTGGAGAACATGCCACTGCCACGGCCACAATCATGGTAAGGCCAACCTCTACATCCAAAGCCTTAGTCTAGAAACTGGAAGGGAATACTTTGTGTCTCCTGGGCATTATGAACCTTTGGTCAGATTTTTTATTATGTAAGAGTTTATGAAAAATAGGAAGAAAAACCTGACTAGATAATCCACCCTGTCGTGATCTGACTCTTTTCTGAATAAATCTATTATTGGTTCTTCCATCTATCTGCTAATTAATGCCTTGAGATCTCTCTTCTATTAATTTTTAGAACTGTTACTCACTATGTGTAAGTTAAAGAGATTAACAGTGTGACAGACTCCCTAATAATGATTCCAGTAGAACATCGGCATTATCTTTGAATCTCCTGTGTACCCCCTACACTGTATAAATTGTATTTTATTTATTTTTTTATAAACTGTATTTTAAAATTTAAATTGTGTCCCTTCCCAATCCTATCCTCTTTTCTCTTCCCTCAAAACCATTCTTAATGCTAAGTTTATAATTTCCCTTTCATTCTAGTTTTACCACATATATTTGCGTTACTTAACAATATATAGTTCAGTTTGAATATTTCAAATTT